AAAAAACCAAGTTTTCTGGTCATTCAGAGTCTAGGGGAGAATGAGTAAGGAAGAGCAAGAGAGTCTTGTGACTATCCTGGATAAGGTCAAGAAAATCTTAGCTGTATGGAAAATCAGATGGCTCGTCCTCTTCAGTCTCTTCCTGCAGGCCTTTCTCACCCTCGTCTCCCCGTACAGAAAAGCCACCGGAAATCGCTTCGTCATGTTTCTCATCCGGCTTGGTTACCTGCTCGCCAATTGGGTTGCCAATGCCACTCCTGGTATGATCATCACCGCACAACAAGACTCGAACACTGCAGATGGCCTCTCTGCTCTCTCGCTATTTTGGGGCGCCTTTCTCATTCTCCATGTTGGCAGCCCTGACACAATCACTGCTTTGTCACTGGAAGATAACGAAATCTGGCATAGGCAATTTATTGGATTCCTGTCGCAATGCATGACTGTTTATTATATCTTTATTGCAAGTCTTCCAAAGAAGCTTCGGATCCCGAATATACTCTTGGTTACAGCAGCAGTTTTAAAGCGACGCGAACGGACACGTGCTCTGTTTCTGGCCAGCCGAAGCATTTTCCGAGTCTCTGAACTCGCTGAACCAGATCCCGGTCCCAACTACGCCAAATTTATGGAGGAATACGCCTCCAAGAGAGCGGCCAAACTCCCAACGCAAATCATATTCATGCCGAAGCCTCATAAACAAACCAAGATCGCTGAGGAGACTATTGAGCTAAGCGAAGTCCAAGTGGTGCAGAAGGCTTTTAAATACTTCAAAACTTTCAAGCCGCTTATAGTGAATCTCGTCTTTAGCTTCCAGGAGCGCATGGAGAGCAGAGATTTTTTCCGCCAATTGAAACCAGAAACTGCTTTAAGCGTAATCGAGATTGAGCTCAACTTCATCTATGAGGTTCTATACACCAAGGGCCCGTTTGTGCACTCGGTTATCGGATATGTTGATCGGTGTCTCGTTTTTATGCTTATTTCAGCATCACTTGGGCTATTCTACCACACTGCATTGAGAACTGAGTTCAACAAATTCGATGTGGTAGTCACCTTCACATTGTTCTGGGGAGCCATAGTCCTGGAATTGATCTCTCTCTTCATGCTAATTTTCTCTGATTGGACTCTCGCAACTCTAGAGGTACCTGGTGATGAAGAATCAGTCAAAAACTATTCATGGCCCATGAAGTTGAAACTTCGGTTGGTCTCCTTTATATATGGTTTCTTCCTCAAATGCAAAAGACCCCTCTGGCGCCTTTCTTCATGTGTGGAAAACCATCAAGTCCAACATCATGTGCTGGCTACGTGCTTTCTGTACCGTCGGTGATCGGGATCCATATCCGGATACAACTTGATTGGTCATTGCCTGAAAAACCATCGGAAAACAATCTATGAATCCACTGGTTGGACTCGCGGTTTTGTTCAAAAGATCAATAGGTCTGGCTGTGCTCTCTCTAAATTCGTGGGTAGGATTATCTGTTCTACCACCATTAAAGAAATCATCGTGGATCGATTTCTTAGTGCTATGGTTGACGCCATTCCTGCTTTTCAGAAGCGCATCTCCTCACCGGTCCGTGAATCTGTTGATTGCATAGGCATTAAGGTCCAGAATTGGATGGCTCAAAGACTCTGGAATCATAAAATCCGCAAAACGGCTTCAGATATTTGGAATATTATTTTCAGAATCTACCGTGAACTATTTTTTTTTGAGCTTCACTCGGGTGAATTCTTAGACTCGTTCCGATGTGTTTCTAGCCTACTGATCGACTCACGTTGCAGCTGTGGACATTCATCTTTAATGAGCTGAGAGAAAAGTCTGACCACGCAGATGATCTGGAAACCGCCAAGAGGATCTCCTCTGCCAGAGGTGACTGGGTTTTGATGGACAGCGATTGGAACAGTGCTGGACGAAGAGAATTGATGCTGTACGTGACCGACGTCAAGTACGACGAAAGCCTCTTCCTATGGCACATTGCCACTGAACTCTGCTACAGCACTGAGGATGACGGTGCTACTAAACAGACCAAGTACAACGGTGCCAACTCACTAAATGAGGAATTCAGTGATGCCGATTAGCGCGTATTCAGTAAGACGCTTTCCGATTACATGATGTATCTTCTGGTCAGGCAGCCTACAATGATGTCTTTTGTATCTGGAATTGGAAATATCATATTCCGAGACACTTATGCGGAAGCCAATAGATTCTTCGCCAGAAGGCGTTTGGTACCAGGGGACCAACAGAAGGCCTGTAAACAGATTCTTAGTGTCAACACAGATGTTGAGCCTGTGCATGTGAAGGGAGACTATTGCAAGTCTGTGCTGTTTGATGCTTGTATACTGGCCAAAAAGCTGAAGGCATTGGACTTGGAGGACAATGGGGAGAGTAAATGGAAAATGCTCAGCAGAATGTGGGTGGAATTAATGTCATATGCCGCGGTCCACTGCCATGCAACCGGTCATGTTCGGAAGCTAAGCGAAGGCGGAGAGCTCATCACCTTTGTTTGGTTGCTGATGGCTCAGTTTGGGCTTGGAGAGCAGTTCCAGTCTACGGAGAAGCATGGAAGAGCAAAACTAGTTGTGGGCAAGTGATATATTGGAGCACAACATGATCTTCTTCTCTGTTATCTTGTGTTTGCTTCTAGATTGTATTACTCTCTGGAATTTGTGTGGTTTGCTTGTTGATTTGGAATAAATAGTTTGATTATGTTTTTCATTTTTCCTATTTTAGCGTTAGTGGGAATAGATAAATTTAATCAGACATGTGATAAATTAAAGATTAACTTTTGTTTTTATTAATATAAATTTATAACAAAAATATATATTTATTCTATTTCTAACTTATATTCTTAAATTATTCGATTACAAAATCTCTCAAATAATTTGACAATATTATAGTTATGATATTATGTATGATTGTAAACTAACAATATCCTATGTAACATTAAATAAATTCAATGTAGTATTAAATGAGTAGTACCATATAATATCACAAGTAGATTATTAAATAAAAAGAGTTAATTATATAAAAACACATTATGTTGTAAACTTACACTTCTGTGTGACAATAAATAAATTTGATATGATATTAAAAGAGTAAATACATATAACATTATGGATGAATTATAATATTTTTGTTGATAATTAACTTTTCACTTTTTGAAATTTCATAGTATTATATGTCATATGTTACCATATGTGTAAGTTTTTGTATAAAAAAAATTGTTCGGACTGGTAATAATACGCTAACAACCTATTAACGAAGAGTAAAAGAGGTCGTTAAGCCTAGAGCTAATTTGCTGCACAAGGAGTATGAGGGTTTTATATGCATGTTTCTTTATTTAAGGGCTTAAGAGCTAAAATGGGTAAAGTATAAGAGCTCAATATAGGGTTTTGCCTAAAAAAAGGTCGATACCATATTAGTAACGAAGAATAGTCAAATTATGTTTATAAAAATAAAAATAAAAAATCAAATTATTTAACTATTTCTCTGGATTCAACCAGACTAAACGGACCGATTCTATTTCTGTGTCAATTCCATTATTTCCATTTCCACCACTTCGATTTCAACACCACCAGCCTGTCCACCATCCATCATGGAATTGATGCGCCATTCATCGTCGTTCCTCCTTCCAACGATTCCGACCGACGGTCGATCTTCTACGACCTATGCACTCGTCATTCTCAACCAAAACCTACCAAGATTCACTCCTCTGCTTTGGAAGCACGGTACGCGTTACTTCTCTTTTGGTTTAACCTTCTGTTTTTGCTGGTTTAGGGTTTTATTCTTTGTTGTTGTGTTGTTCTCTGAGGATTTCTCTGTTTTTTTAGAGCAGCACAGGTTCGGCTCTGCGCTGATGGCGGCGCCAATCGCCTCTACGATGAAATGCCTGAGTTATTCTGTTCTGAGGATGCGTTAGATGTTCGACGCAGGTTCGTTGTTTTGTTTCTCGACTCTAATTCCGAGCTTCTTGTGTTTATTCTTCTTCAGTCGTGATGTAGGCGTTATTTACTGTAACTTTTTTTTTTTTTTTTTCTATTTGAAAGTTTTAATGTGAGATTAGGACTTGAGAATTGAGATCTCGTTTGAATTTTTGGTGATGAACAAACTAAACGATTTGTTTAGCCTGAAGGAAGAGGGAAAAAAACTAGATTTTTGGAATTTAATTCCAATTGAAAAGAATGATGAATTTCTCCAGAATTCATTTCAAATAAAGGATTGAAGTAAGAAAACAGCGTAATTCAAAGAAAGGATTGAAATAGAATTCTGTTAAACTTGTGTTTGGCATTCGGATTCAAGTTAATTTAGCCTGAATTCCAGCTCTCTTTGTATAGTTTAGCGTCTGACTTGCTGCTGCTTCTTGCTTCATTTTTAATACATTTCCTTTGTTCTTGTTTATGAGACAAGCCATGACTCTTAGAATAATCATGGATTTTGAGCTTTTTCATCTTTTTTACTTTGTGCATCTCACATAATAGTGCCACTTTTTTGGGCTGAAACCACCATGCTAAGTGTTCAATGATTCAAAATTAATTTTTGTGATTTTAGTTGTTGACAGCTTAGTTTTAAAATTAATGCTTATTGCTTTAAGCATCTTGTAACACAGACTCTCGGATCTATACCAGGTACAAGCCAGATGTAATCAAAGGAGACATGGATTCAATTAGAAGTGAAGTACTGGATTTTTACACAACCCTGGTAAGATTGCTACTTCCTTTCTTCAAAACCAGCTATTGATGATGTTTTTGAGGTTTTCCATTATGAATTTGAAGCATATTTCTCTCCACTCTGGTCTTACTAACTTGTATCCTGGGTTTTAACTTTTAATCCCTGATAAATTTACTTTTATACTTGAAGGTGATATGTCATAGGTCATGCTACCCTATTTTTGTCAGTGGAAGTTTTGTTTCAGTTCATTTTTCACTATATTCAAATCTGGGCTCTCTGGATTATACATTTTTTGAGAGATTGGGACTGTCCTGAGATGTTTTCTCTTGCTTGATGCAGGGAACAAAGGTTGTAGATGAATCACATGATCAGGACACCACAGATCTGCATAAATGCATGTCATATATTTGTGACTTCACTCCAGATTTGGATAAATCTAATGTAAGTTCACTCCAGATTTGGATAAATCTAATGTAAGTTATATTTTATTATCTTAAAAGTACTTTATTTCTGCTTCATTTGATCAGCTTTTTTTTTTCTTTTTTTTTTTTTAGTAAGCTTGAGCTCAATATTTGTATGATTTTGTATTTTTGCAACTTGTTCTTGGTATTAGACAGTTTTGCATGATGTGTGTGCCTAGTTTGATATCTTCACAGCTTTTTCCTTGGTGATATGGCAGCTTTGCATTCTTGTTGCTGGAGCACTTGGTGGACGATTTGACCATGAATCTGGAAACCTAAATGTTCTATATAATTTCTCAACCACGCGCATAATCCTTATTTCTGATGATTGTCTCATCCACCTTCTTCCGAAGACTCACAGTCATGAGATATATATTCAATCTTCTGCAGAGGGCCCACACTGTGGACTAATTCCCATTGGGATGCCTTCTAAGAGAACCACAACAACTGGGCTGAAATGGGATCTGAGTAAGTATATGTTGACCATCATTTTGCTGCTTTTATTTTTAGTCCAAGGAATTAAAAAAATGATTCCATTGCTTGCTTGGCTCATGATTCATTCACCACTCATGCTGTTCACATGCATTATATTGTGGTTTGCTTTCCATTCAACTGAAACTAAAATAAATGCGGGTGTTGGGTTGTCAAGTGATTAAACCTCTTTTAGAACAGTGGTTGTGGGATGTTTTGTGTGCTATTTATGCTCCACTACTGGCATCTGAACAACCAGATAGTGGTATTTGCAGGCAAAAGGTTGCTTACTCGCATTCATTTTCAAATCAGAAGGGAGGAAAGCTTAAATAAACTTATGCTTTCAAGGGAAAGCATTGACTTGGCATCACACTTTTGCCTTAATTATGATTTACGAGTCAAATCCTTTCTTTTAACAAAAAGCCCAAAAACCCACTTTTGACTTAATTGGTTTCCAAAGAGCAAATGCACTAACAGACTACATGAAGGCATGTGAACGATGCAGGATTTAAATTTATCTACACTTTTTTTCGGTTCATATCAGTTTCATGGAAATTGCCAGGATGCTCATTTTGTTTTGTCCCCATCATTCCAGATGACACTGAGATGAAATTTGGTGGTTTAATAAGCACATCAAATATTGTTAAAGGGGAGAAAGTCACCGTACAATCTGATTCCGATCTTCTTTGGACGATTTCCATCAAGAAGCTGTAATGTCTGTTGCTTTAAATAGACGGTGCTCAAGCTGCAGCTTTCTTAGCTGTTCCTTAACCTACATTGAATTGGACAGTTCTGATTCTTATGTCCATATTATATTATTATTATTATTATTTTTCTCCAGATCATTGTACTAAGGTAATTGTCCAAATTAATTTTGTACTATCATTTTATCACATTTCCCATTCCCCTTTTCTGTTATTTGAAGATTCTTTGGACATTTTTGTTTTCAAAATCTTG